TCCTGCTCAACTTAAAACCCTTAGACTCCAGGGTATGTCTCCAGGCCTCCAGCCTCTCGTTAACGCCACCTCGCGTCTCATCAATCAGGACTATGTCATCCGCAAATAACAAGCACCAAGGCACCTCCACTTGAATGTGACGTGTCAAAGAATCCATCGCCGGAGAAAACAAAAACGGGCTAAGTGCTAATCCCTGATGCAACCCCATCTCAATCAGAAAGTAATCTAAGTCTCCACCTGTTGTCCTAACCCGTGTCTTAGCTCTATCATACATGTCCTGAATCACTCTAATATACGCTACAGGCACTCCTCTAGCCTCCAAACATCTCCATAGAACCTCTCTAGGGACTTTGTCATAGGCCTTTTCCAGGTCAATGAACACCATGTGCAAATCCATCTTCACCGCCGTAAACTGCTCCACCAATCTCCTCACAATATGAATGGCCTCAGTGGTCGACCGTCTCGGCTATGAAACCAAACTGGTTCTCGGAAATGGACACACACCTCCTCAACCTCCCTTCAATCACCCTCTCCCACACTTTCATCGTATGACTTAACAACTTGATACCCCTATAGTTGTTGTAGTTTTGGACATCCCCCTTATTCTTGTACAACGGGATCATCGTACTCCGTCTCCACTCTTCGGGCATCCTCTGCGTCCTAAAAATGACGTTAAACAACCCAGCAAGCCATTCCAAGCCAGTATGACTCTGATCTTCATCATATTTAAAAGCGATAATACGTTTTTGCATACAATAATTATCATCTATCCAATGACCTGTAATTGTCAAAAAATCATTTCCATTAACAGCATGGCAAATATCAGAAGTTAGAGAAACTCTACAAGGAAGGTGGCTAAACAAATAACGTATGTATGTTTGATATTGTCCATGAAGTCTAAAGATATCAGATCTACAAGTACTTCTAGGGATACCTTTAAATATAGAATTATAAATCATTTGAATATACATAATAAGATATGATGAAGAAGCAAAAGAAAAAGGTAGACAACCCAAAGCAATCATTTTTGCTAACTCCTCACGATCCTTCATTTTATCATATTTCATAAGACCTCCAGTAGTAGGGTTTAGAGTTGCTTGATTTCCATCTCCATCAGAGCCCCATTCTATAGGATGCTCAATTCTCATATGTCTAATAAGTGTCCCAGTCTCCCCTAATTGTCCTCCAGTCTTATGTTTAAAAGTATCATTACAAAGTTTGCATTTAACTCTATCAGTACCTTCTATTTCGACAAAAAATAGCCAAACCTTACTTCTTTTTCTCCGATTACTAGTCGGGGCCACAGGTGGTCTACTACTAGCACCACGACCACCACCCCTGCTATTAGCTCCAACACTACTAGGTGTAAGTGGTATCTCATCTTCCATTTCTAATTCATTATCTTCTATACCGAAATCTTCCTGTAATTGTTCATAATCTATATTATTATCAGGTAATGTTTCAGGAATATGTGTAGAATCATTTAAATTACTACCAGATGCTGAAGTACTACCTCTTTTTTTATTTTCCCGATTAGTAACCTTATTACAAATACTTTTTACAGCATTAAACATATTGTAAAAATTTAACTACTAGCAACAATTGAATATGCAAATAAAATAGTAAATAAGAGAAGTTGGAGGGAGTGCACCGAATCCGACAATAAATTGAACACTTGATGATTTCGCAACTCCAATGTTCCCACGAAGAAACATCAATTGTTCAAACTTCAAAATTCAAATATTAAATAATACGATAAATGAAATTCAAAAAAAATGAGAGCCAAATACTTAATTGCACTTTAGGTGAAGAATGAGAGAATGATAATTGAGAATATGAGTTTGTGAAATGAGAGATGAGTGAAGAAATGAAGAAGAGTGGGGGTGTATTTATAGTTTTTCAAAGGGCTAATTAGGTAATTACAAAAGGTGTTTATTTTTTTTTTTAAAAAAATCCCAAAAATAGGCTACTTGTGCAAATCTGCCGTTGGGCAACGGCCCCAAAGCCAGAAGACCGTTGCCAACGGTCAGAAATAGGCCCCACTAAAAAAAAATAAAAAAAATTAAGGTAGCCGTTATACCAGTCTGGGCCGATCCGGTCCGGGCCGGTTAACCGGTTCTACAGTAAAAACCGTTGACCGGGTTTGACCGGCCCGGTTAACCGGTAGCCCCAACGTAAACGGACCAACCCCCTTACCCTATTAACCCAGCACACCCGGCCCCCTTTGTACCGGTCCAGGCCGGTTCCGGTTTCAACCGGTCTGAGCCGGTCCAGAAACGGACTGATCCGGCCCGTTAGACACCTCTGGTGAAAAGCAGAAAAAGCCAAATCAGAAGGAATCAAGAAAGAGAAAAACAGAAAATAGATTAAAATTGGAAAAGGAGGAAAAGATAAAGAAGAATAAACAACTACTTAATACACTTCAAAGGCGTTTCACATGCTAAAAAAGAATGGAACACACTCACTATGCCATGTCACTTATTGTGTTCCATAGACACACTTCCCACTAACATTTAGGTGTTCAATAGGAAACAACTTGAGTTGAAGTGAATATGACAACTTTAAATGGCTGTCATTTATGTATTTGGCCAATACTATAATACTATGATAAACATGCAACCAAACGAGAAAAAACGTACCCGTGACGTGCTCGCTGAGTAGTCGAGGAGGATGGGCGGGCACGCAATTACATTCCCTAGTAGAACCCCTAACAATAGCAAAAGCATTAAGCCAGTGTGTTATATTGGCAAGAGCAAATTTTGCTTTGCCATTACTATTTGAATCCAGTGTCTTTTTTCTTTTATAGAACAAGTTCTCAATCTTTGGGACTGAGTCCAGAACTTAAATGTGGTTTTTTTGGACTCAAAACACGTTTTTAAGTGTAAAAAAAAGTTACATTTCTATATAAAACGCATTTCATAACCGCGTTTTATATAGAACACGGTAATGAACTGCGATTTAGTGGCAGCTGAAAAGACAAGTATATAAAACGCGGTCCATTACCGAGTTTTATATAAAGCGCGGTAATGAACCACATTTTACATGTTTAGTGGGCCCACCACTAAGTCTTTTGCGCTTAACTGATATAACAATAATTCAAATATGTAAAACGCCCTTTTAAACCTCGTTTTACTTCCAAAATTTTGACCCCTCGAATTGGGCATTGCCTTATATAAAGGCGTTAAGGGTTTTGAGAATTATCATTCAGAATACTCCAACTTCGTGATGAATTTTTCTTGTTAAATTTTCAAGCTTTTTTCATAATGTCCGAAGAGCGAAAAGTAAGGGATTCATTATATTGAGGTTGTAAATTAAATTATAAATTTTTATAATTAAATATTCATATATGGGTTCCAGGCTCGAGATTTGGAGCCCAGTAGCACCAAGTTATCCTAAATTCTTCTATGTGTTAGTTTTATAATTCTGTATGTTAGTTTGTAAATTAAATTATAAATTTTTATAAGTAAATATTCATATATGGGTTCCAGGCTCCATATTTGGAGCCCAGTAGCACCAATTTATCCTGAATTCTTGTATGTGTTAGTTTTATTATAATTTTATATGTTAGTTTGTAAATTAAGTAATTAACTTTTATAATTAAATATTCACAAATGAGTTCCAGGTTCGATAGTTGGAGCCCAGTAGCACCAATTTATCCTAAATTCTTCTATTTTTTGGTTTTATTATTTAACGTGTTACTTTTATAATTTTATATGTTTGTTTGTAAATTAAATAAAATTTTTATAATTATATAATATTTAATTATTAAATATTCATATATGGGTTCCATACTCGATATTTGCAGCCCAGTAGCACCAAATATATGTTGACTATAATTAGAACAGAGTTTGTGTTTGATCTATCAGTTATTTTGACATATTTTTTGGTATAAGAGATACTTAAACTACAGGGAAACTACACTAAAATGCACTACATTTTACTACGCTAAAGGGCACTACATTATTCTACGCTATGCACTACATTTTACTACGCTAAAAGGCATTACATTTTACTACCCTAAAAGGCATTCCTATTTACTAGTCTTTAACCAAAAAAATAATTTAAACCAGATAAAACACAACAAATACATTGTAATCACAAAAATACATATAAAACAGTAATTGTAATTTATTAACAAATAATAACAATTTCACAAATTTTACATATTTTTTTACAACATTAATATCTTAGTCCGGATAAAAATAACATACCAATTTAATTGCAAAAAAAAATACAAAACAACATACAACACATTCAAAACAACTAATATGCATTATTTATACCAGTTTGGACATAAACTAAATCGGAATACCTCGATTTATGTTTTTCGGAAAGTTAAAGATTTGAGTTTTTGTGGACGGGTGGGGTCCACTCGAGTTTTTTATCGTTTTAATGGGGGCGGACCGCTGCTGCTTCGTTTTAAAAAATGGGGGAGAAGGGTGTGTGAAACAAGGGGAAAAGGGGAGTGGATATGATATTTATATATACAAAACGCAGTTCATTACCGCATTTTATATAAACGCGGTAATGGACCGCATTTTATATACTTGTCTTTTCAGCTGCCACTAAATTGCGGTTTGTTACCACGTTCTATATAAAAGGCGGTTATGAACCGCGTTTTAACTTAATGGTCCAAACGGCCGTTTTATATATAAATATAATTTCTTTTTTACACTTAAAAACGTATTTTGAGTAAAAATAACCACATTTAGGGTACTCGCAGCTTGAGGGGACTATATCAATCGTTCAGTTCTATATTATTTAGGAGGCATGACATGATTTCACATCAAAAATGAAAATTTAACCTTACCAGCTTAGGAAATATACCCACTGATTGCTTGTTACAGCACATTTTAGCATCAATGAGGGTAGTCTTTTCATGCTTTTGCAAGCTGTACTCCTGTTTCCACACTTTCCTTTTTAAATTTATTTTACCAGGAAAGGAGGATAAAAGAAGTGGAGAAAAGGAAAGAAGAAGAAAGAAAGAAAAAGTACTTTTACTGAAAAGATTAGCTGAAGTTTGATTTGCCCCCTCATTTTACAGCCTCTCTTTGCCATATCACATTCCATTATTCTTTTGTTACAGTGGAGAAATATAATAGAGCCCAAAGAACCTTTACTCTATTTTTCTTTTTACATACTTCACTTCACTAGTCTTGATAGTTGAAAAACCTTTTTAAGTCCTTTGCTTCTTGAATTCCTTTGATGTCAATGCCCTTAGAAGAGCATGATTACATAGGCTTATCTGGTAAGAGTAGTTGTGTTTCCTCAATGGAAAATAATGAGAGGAAAAGCAAAAAAGACTTGAACTTGAACTTGAACTTGAAGGCCACTGAGCTTAGACTAGGCTTGCCTGGTTCTGAGTCCCCTGAGAGGGGTTTAGTTTCTGGAGCCAAAAGGGGGTATTCTGACACCATGAATGGTGCTTCTGAAATGTTGGCTTTCTCTAGATCTGAGGTTCATTCTGCTAAAGGTCACAGTGGGTTGTTGTTCTCTCCTAAGGGTGGAAGCAAGAATCTTGCTGCTGTTGTACCTGCAGAGAGTAGTCTTCAGCAGTCTTCTATGGCTAATGTTGTGAAAGATCCATCGCCAAGGCCAGCACAGGAGAAAAAGCCTCTGATTCCAACTAGTAATGGACATGGGGTTGCTCCAGCCGCTAAGTAAATCTTTCAGAACCTCCCCTTAAAATTAAATACTACAGCATGAAGCTAGAGTTTTTGTGTTCTTTTTCCATCTTTTGTAAATAGTAAGATTATATCTTAACTGAATCTTACCTCCCATGGGTTTCTCTTATTATCTTCTTGAACTGAACCTTAATAGTTAACAGTATGGTTTGGACTTCCGGTGTTGCTAGAAAAGTTTTCTCGTCTTTATTTGCTCAACCTTCAAAGAGCTACCATGTTTTGTCCCATTCTTTCAATTGAATCCTCCGTAAGCTTGTTCTGCTGTTACTTCTTTCCTCGCTGTTTGTTCAACATGTATTTTTTTTTTCCTAAGGGAGAGGTTGGGGTTTTCAAGTTCTTGAGCTGGCTCTTGGGTCGAGGGTTTTCTAGGATAGGGGTAAGGTGTGCGCACACGCTACCTTATCCAGGCCCCAAAGCCCACTTGTGGGATTCCACTGGGTTGTTGTTGTTGAGCTAGCAAATGCTAAATTACTAAGGAAATTAAGGACCTAGCTCCTGGAACTACATAGTAACTGGAGCTACTTTTGTTTTCTGGTCAGGGCACAGGTAGTAGGATGGCCACCAATTCGGTCTTTTCGGAAGAAGTCAATGGTCAGTAATCCTCCCAAGAATGAGGAGGATGTGGATGGTAAGTTAGGATCTGCTTGTGTTTATGTCAAAGTCAGCATGGATGGTGCCCCTTATCTGCGGAAGGTTGACCTTAAGATCTACAAAAGCTACAATGATCTGTCTTCAGCACTGGAAAAGATGTTCAGCTGCTTTACCATAGGTAATGCCTTGATGACAGCTGTCTGTATTCTTTTTCTTTTCGGCTTTAATGATTTTAACTGTTGAAGGCATATCAAATGATTGTTTTTTTGAGGTTCGTTGCGCTGATTAGAATCCTATGGAGGTCTGACGAGGAGCTTTTAACTGGAGATAGCTTTAGAACAGTACTGCTCGAAACTTCTTTGTTGTTAATCTAGCATGTCCTATTGGACTTTATCGTTACATGTTGTCTTTCAAGTGATTTGCTTCTTGTTTCGTTGAGATATTCTTGTTAATTCCTTCAATCTCTCTTTCTCTTTTGTTTTTTTATCCGTTTTAACCATGGTGTGCGGGCAGCTTGCATACCCATTAATGCTTGAGCAGAGGGCCTCAAACTGAGTGTTGTTGCTGTGATTAGAACTTAGATTTCCAGTAGTAAAGTTTGTTAGTCTTGTTTCAAGCACTTGGTCATGTCCTTGAGGATTGGTTTTATGATTATTAGCGCTCTCAAGGCAATTAGTAATTTATTTCTGATCTTAAGAACAGTATCTAATATGCTGATTTTTGGGTTGGAACGCCTTGATCTTCTATTGCTTGTAAATCTTAAAAAGCATTCAGTTTCTAGCTCAAACAAAGATAAGCTGCTAAATGAGGTGGAAAGCAACAATTGAGAAAAATTGTTTGCTTGCTGTCATGAGTCTAGGTAGTGAACAGTGTACTTTTTGGTGTGAAATGTTGATTAAACATATGCGTGCCTGCTTCTTTCTGCATTAAGAGTCTAGTGAATTTCAACTTTAATCTGTGATTAATTTAGGTCAATGTGGAACTGAAGGCATTCCGATTCGTGATGGACTAACTGAAAGTAGATTGATGGATCTTCTTCATGGATCTGAGTATGTTCTTACCTATGAGGACAAGGATGGTGATTGGATGCTCGTTGGTGATGTTCCATGGGAGTAAGTTTGATGTCTAATCTGAGTTGTCGGATGACCACTTTCGTAAAGTTCATATATGTTAAGTAATTTAATCAAATGCATTCATCCTATCTTAAACCTATCAGCAGGTAATCTTAAATGAATAAACAGAAATACCTGCTTGTGAAACTTGTACTTTTACTCCAAACTTCAGTATTGCCTGAGAGTTCATATTTCACAAAATCATTGTATCCATCTATCTATCGTGTGTGTGTGTGTGTGTGTGTGTATAAAGCTTGTGATTAGTGATTGTAAAAAAGGATGGACATTTGGAATTACTTAATATTATGGAGGATTTACATGTGATAGTGATTCTTTAGTCATTGAATTATTAGATCCTACATAGGAATCCTGTCCTGTAGGCCATTTTTTAGTATGCAGTGAGTCTTACTTGCCATGAATTATTATATGTAGGATGTTCACAGAGTCTTGCAAGAGGCTGAGAATCATGAAGAGTGCAGATGCAATTGGTCTAGGTATGTTAAAAGGGGCCTTTCCTTCTCTTCATATTCAGACATGGCCTATCACTTTGTCCACTACTATGTGAAAAAAAATCTAGTGCTGCTTCTGAAATGTATGTTAATATATTTTGTAAGTTTACTAAACAGATCTAGGATGAGTCGATCTCATATGATATTTGACCTGCATTTTTGTAATTTTTGGGCAGCCCCAAGAGCGATGGAGAAATACAAAAACCGTTAAACAAGTAGCACTCTCGCTACAAATGTTGCAGGTATCTGATATATCATATATGTGAAGTGTCTGCTGATATATGTTAGTAGTAGAAGCCTTAATTTGGATTTGAAGTTGTGTACCACGCTTTTAAGTTTGTGTGTATTAAGTATCTATTTGATGTAAGGGAAAATAATCCTCATATTCATATCCACAAGTATTCTTACTGGTTGCTTCAGCAAGGCTTCTGTGTCTCTATTGTAAATGGTCTCATCCTTTAATAAATCTCTCTATGTCAGTGTGGCTAAAGTTGTCCATCATTTGGCGTTTATTTTCTCCTTCTACATAGTTATTTAATTACCTCCAGGGGTATGGTGTATTCTTTTTTTCCCGACTTCTGCGGATGATCATCCTTCAGCCACTAGCACGCACCCAAAACAGGAAAAAAAAAAAAAAAAAAAAAACTCAAAACGATGTATTGTTTTATTAGTAGTAAGCAAGAAGAGACAAGTTGCATGTGGTCATGTTACAAAAGATCTCTCTTTAAGAACATATTGCTCATTGATTAACTTGGTGGTGGTTATGGGGACATCATTCAACTTGATGTTCGTTTTTCAAAGGGTAACAGTGAAGATGTATTAGGCCTTACTGTCCTTAAATGTGCAGTTTAGACACTGGGACTGCAGTCACTCATTAATAATTTGTTCTAAGAGCAATAAATGTGGTGGGAGCTTACCAAATTGTTATTTCATGAGAAAATTTGACTGCACATCTGTTTTCTGTGGGCACTTCTGCTTATTTGTTTGCAACTAAAGAGAGAGGAACTCTGCCACGGTGTGTGAATACTAGTTTAGTAGAGCGGGCTTCTACACCAGCCTTTTCACCCACTGCAACGAGTTAACATGTGGTCATTGTAATTTGTATGTAACCATTTGGTATTTTTGTTCAGCGTTAAGATTTGTTAATCTTCCTCTTTCTCACCCAAGAATTATAGGTCGTGTGATGGCGGAATTCCTGGCCTATAGACTTTTTGGTGTCACAATTCTGACAGAGAATCAACTAATTCCTGTCCAAGAGTGGAATACTGTTTGAAAGACTGCACCAACTTTAAGTCGAGACACATTAGGAGATTTACTTCAAAGAAGTTAGAAACCTATAAAATAAAAGGGAAAGAAAAGGTTGACAATCGGATTAATCAATTAATTAACTACATACGCCTCAATCTCATATTAGCTAGTGTATGACTGCATGAATTCCTTGAACTTTGTAACACTTTATTCATGTCTATTTCATTCCATTGTAAAGAATTTATCTTCTAATTAAATTTTACACACTTTTTTAATAAATATACCACCGGGGCAGAGTACCTAGTGGCTAATATATATAATCAAAACAAAAAAAGAAACAAGGTCTTTACAATTTGAGTAGGAATAAAACTAGAACAAAACACAGGGAATACTATGTTTACCATTAAAATGGATAACAATTAAATTTGTACGCGTTTTTAAGGATATGTGGATTGATTTAACACAAGAAATCAAGAAAGACGAATCAAAGATAAATGAATAACCAAACAAGTTGTGACGATAAGTCCGGACTCAGATTTAAGCTTAATAATAGTTGTGCCCTCGATCTGACCCTGGATTCGGAGCCAAATGTATATGAAGAGCTATGATTAAAATATGAAATTCTTAATAACTAGAAAGCAGAGAAACAAGTTTATTGTAACGATTCGGTCGGTCGTTTCATGAGTTACCGCTCCGTTTTTCCCGTTACTGCTTCTATTTGCTTTGTTTATCAGTTCTAGGTGTGATCGGGTTGGTCGGCTCGGGTTCGGAAAGGTATGAGACACTTAGTCTCTTTTAAGAAAGTTTAAGTTGAAAAAGTCAATCGGATGTTGACTTATGTGCTAGAGGGCTCGGATGTGAATTCCGATGGTTCGGATAGCTTCGGGAGGTGATTTGTGATTTAGGAGCGTGACTAGAATGTGTTTTGAAGGTCTGGGGTAGATTTAGGCTTGAATTAGCGAAATTGAGTTTTTGACGTTTTCCGGTTGATAGGTGAGACTTTGATATAGGGGTCGGAATGGAATTCCGGAAGTGGCAGTAGCTCCGTTATGGCATTTGGGATGTGTGTGCAAAATTTCAGGTCATTCGGACGTGGTTTGGTATACTTTTTTTATCAAAAGCGGAATGCGGAAGATTTTAGAACCTTAGGCTTGAATTCGATGTGTTTTGGTGGTTTTGATGTTGTTTGAGGTGTTTTGAAGGTTGGTATAAGTTTGAATGGTAGTATAAGACTTGTTGGTGCATTTGGTTGAGGTCCTGGGGGCCTCGGGGTGATTTCGGATGGTTGACGGAAGGTTTGGAATTGAGCTTGAGAGCTGAAGCCTTTTTGGTTGCTGTCATAACTGCATCTGCGGTTGAAGGATCACAGGTGCGGCCCCGCAGATGCGGGTGACAAGTCGCAAAAGCGGAAGAGGCCTAGGAAGGTTGTGACCGCAGAAGCGGTTGGTTGACCGCACCTGCGATGGCGCAGGTGCGGAGTGAGCATCGCAGATGCAATCTTGGCCGTTTAAGTGGGAACCGCAGGTGCGGCGCCTGGGACCGCAGAAGCGGTCACGAAGGTGCGACATCAGGACCGCAGAAGCGAAAAGCCTGGGTCAGAATGGTTATATTTCTTCCTTCACGATTTTCAAAGGGTTTCACCATTTTTAAACACGAATTTTGGAGCTTTGGGCGATTTTGGAGAGAGAATTCAAGGAGACTTCATTGAGGTAAGGTCTTGAACTATGAAAACTCGTTTCTATGGTATTAATTCACGGATTAGAGCTATAACTAAGGTTAGAATTTGAGAAACTAGGGCTTGGAAACTTAGGCCTTTGATTGTGAATTTGAAGGACCATTTGTGGTCAGATTTTGGAACTTTTGATATGTATGAGCTCGTGGGGAGATAAGGAATCTAATGATGTAAATTTTATCGAATTCCGAGACGTGGGCTCAGGGGTCGGGTTTGGTAATTTCGGGAATTTCGTTGTTTTTCGATTGTTTTCGAGTGGGCCTTGTCCTTTTGATGATTACGTTCTGATTTTGGTAGATTCAGAGCATCCGGAGGCCAATTGGAGGGGCAAAGGCATTGCGAGCTAGAGTTTGGGCCGGATTGAGGTGAGTAATAATTTTAAATGTCGTCCTGAGGGTATGAAACCCCGGACTACACAGTGTTAGGCTATGTTGAGGTGGCGCACATGCTAGATGACGAGCGTGGGGTCGTGCACCGTTAGGGATTGTAACTTAGTCTATCCCGAATGACTGTTTTACTTCGAATTTGATTGCTAATTGTTTGATATTATTATGTTTTGGGCTAAATGCCATATTTGGGCTTCGTGCCAACTGTTTGGGCCCTTAGGGGATCTTTACTGATATTTTTCCTCACTGTTGAATTCATACTTGTGCTTAGTCATGCCATATTTTACTGTTTTCAAAACTCAGCCATGTTACACTGTTTTAAATACTTTAAATGATATTTTAAAAGATATTTTGAGCTGAGCATCATGTTTACTGTTGCTCGAGGGGCTTATGAGATTCTGACTGAGTAAGGCCGATGGCCTATATTGTGAGATTACTTTTGGGTCGGGCTGCACGCCGCAACGGTGATATACTGATTATGATAATAAAGCCGAGGGCTTGAGATTGTACGCCATGAGGTGGCTTGTGATTGATATGAGGCCGAGAGCCTGTTTATGATGCCACGAGATGGCTTGATATTGCGCTTGGGCCGTAAGGGGCCCCTCCCGAAGTTTGTACACCCCCAGTGAGCGCGGGTACCCATTGTGATATAAGATAGAGCCCGAGGGGCTGGTATTGTTCTATGTTATTGCCCGAGGGGCTGATTCGGTTGTTATTGTGCCCGAAGGGCGGTTTTTATGTGTTTACCTTTTCTAGCTGCCTTTCCTCTATTTTTTTAATTGTTAAAATTTGTTTCATGAGATTTCACTGTTTAATTGTGTTTACTGATTTTGCTCTGCCTCTTATAGCTTATTGTTGTGTTTAACGTGATTTTATATCGCACAGTCTTCGTTTATTGTTATTACTCACTGAGTTGGAGTACTCACTTTACTCCCTGCACCCGTATGTGCAGATTCGGGCACTACAGGTCCTGTTAGCGAGGGTTGAGAGCTGTCCAACAGATTTTCGGAGATTCACTAGGTAGCTGCCCGACGATTCGCAGCCCAGTGCATCCTCCCTCTATCTTATTTCCTTTCTGATTCAGTTATGTAGTAGTGGAGTAGATTTTCAGACTTGTAGTATTATTTTAGATTCTCATGACTGGTGACACCCCGATGTCAGGCTGTGTTGGTTTAAATTCCGCAAATTATACTGTTCACTGCTTGTTTTGGGATTTTATCATGTTAAAGACTTAATATTTATTATTTTGATTGCTTTAAATGAATTGGGAATGTGTTGGCTAGCCTTGTCTTCACGAGAGGCGCCATCACGACCGGGTCCGGGTTTAGGGTCGTGACATGTTGGTATCAGAGTCTAGGTTACATAGGTCTCACAAGTCATGAGCAGGTTTAGTAGAGTCTCGCGGATCGGTACGGAGACGTCTGTATTTATCCTCGAGAGGCTGCAGAACCTTTAGGAAAATTTCGTATTCTATAAATTCTTGTCGTGCGAATTTGTTGATCCAAGTACTAAACTTGTGCTATTCTATTCTCTCACAGATGGTGAGGACACGAGCGACAGGATGGATGACCACCAGTACCACCAGCTGGAGCCACTAGAGGTCGAGGACGCGGTCGAGGCTGTGGTAGGGGCAGAGGTGCAGCCTACACAGCAGCGGGGGCAGCACCTGCAGATCCACCAGCCGTCCTAGTTCAGGATCAGGTCCCAGTTATGGACGCTCCAGCAGCACCGGCTCGGGCACCAGCTGTACCCATTGTGATTTCGGGTCTTCAGGAGACTTTGGCCCAGATATTGACAGTATGTACGAGTCTTGCTCAGGCGGTCGCGGTCTCTACTGCCGCAGCCACTTCTCAGGCAGGGAGAGGCTCTCAGACTCCCGCCGCCCGCACGCCCGATCAGGTGGTTCAGGGATTGCAGACACCGGAGGCACCACTAGCCCAGCCGGTGGCAGCTGCTCAGGGTTACGTAGCTCTAGTTATGCCAGAGGACGAGCAACGTAGGTTGGAGAGGTTTGGCAGACTCCAGCCGCATACTTTTAGTGGTGCTGAGGGCGAGGATGCCCACGGTTTCTTAGACCGATGTCAGAGGATTCTTCGCACCGCGGGTTATCTGGAGACCAGCGGGGTTGCATTCACGACCTTTCAGT